TTTCATTCCTCCTTTCTTCTCATGGTTTCAGAGCAGGTTCCCTAGTGGGAACGCTTTCTAGGGTCCACCTCGATTTTTTTTTTTCCCTGCCCAGAGCGCGCTTCGCTTCTGCCCGAGTCACGCCCCGAGTGCCCTCCCTACCGTCGCGCCGCCCTTAGCGGCCCCCTCTCACGGCCCCTTGAGCCCCCCTTACGGCCCCGCGCGCCGCCCTTGCGGCCCCTCGCGCCGCCCTTGCGGCCCCTCACACCGCCCGTCGGCCCCGCGCGCCGCCCTTGCGGCCCCTCGCGCGGCTCGTCGGCCCCGCGCGCCGCCCTTGCTGCCCCTCGCGCTGCCTGTCGGCCCCTGGCGCTGCCCTTCCGGCCCCTTACGGCCCCTCGCGCCGCTCTTGCCCCCCCCCCCCCCCCCCTACGGCCCCTTCGCGGCCCGCCGTCGCCACCTCCAGCAGCGGCCGCCGCCGTCCCTGCAGTAGCAGCCGCCGCCGCCGTCCATACAGCAGCGGCCGCCGCCGCCGCCCCTACAGCAGCGGCCGCCGCCGTCCCTGGAGCAGCGGCCGCCGCCGCTGTCTCTCCAGCAGCGGCCGCCGCCGCCGTCCCTGAAGCAGCGGCCGCCGTTGCCGCCTCCTACAGCGGCCCGCCGTCGCCGCCTCCTGCAGCGGCAACCATCGCCGTCACTGCAGCAGCAGCCGCCACTGTACCTGCAGTAGCCGTGCCGCCTGAGCTGCCGAGCCGCCGTTCCAGCCAAGCCGCCCGAGCCGCCGAGCCGCCCGAGCCGCTGAGTCGCCGAGTCGCTGAGCTGCTGTTGGTGCCGAGCCGCCGAGCCTTCCTAGCCGCCCTGTTTGCTACACCCGGTCACTACCGTCGCGGCCTTGTTCCTACCGGCGAGCCTCAGTCCTTCTCGCCTGCCCGGTAAGAGCGGCACCTCTACCACTGCGCTGCACTTAGCCTACTCCTCGCGCTGCTAGTCCACTACTGTCATGGCTACCCCAAGTGTCCTCGCTTTTGACGCTGAGGGTCGGGCCATTGACTTTGACGCGAGGGTAGATGACCTGCAGCTTTTCCTACAGTGCGATAGGGCAGACGGTCTCTCCCTCTTTGACCTCACTTTTGGTGCCTCTCCTGCCCCTGCTGCTGATGCTGACGCCACTATTCGCTCACAGTGGGCCACGCACGATGCTGCTGCACGTCTTGCTGTGCGTCGCCACTTGCCTACCTCTGAGCGTGCGCACTTTAGCCAGTACAAGAGTGCTAAGACCTTGTACGACGGTGTAGTTGCACGCTACTATTCCCTTGCCACTGCTGCACTTAGCCGCCTCATCTTGCCGTACCTCTTCCCTGACCTCGCAGCTTTTCCCGCAGTCGCTGACCTCATTACACACCTTCGCACTAGTGACATTCGCTACCACGCTGCCCTTCCCGCTGAGTTCTGCGCCAAGAACCCCCCCCCCTTATGTACATCACCCTCTACTACATAGTCACCCGCCTCCCTGACACCCTTCGCCTGGTCAGGGACCACTTTCTCTCCGTTTGCCTCACCACCCTCACCGTTGACCTCCTCGAGGAGCGCCTCCTAGCAGCGGAGAAGAGCATAGTCGCTGTAGGAGCCTCTCTTGGTGACCCTCGTGCCCCTGTCTTTGAGGGGTGCTCCCCCTCTCCTCTCTTGCCCTCTGTTGCCTCTACTACTTCGGCTGACCTTGTTGGTCTTGAGTCGGTCGGTGCAGCGTCTGCCCCTAGCGAGAGACGTCGCACTGGCAAGGGCAAGGGGGGCAGGGGCGCTAGAGGAGCCAGCGGGGGCGGTGGAGGCGGTGGTGGAGGCGGCGGAGGGGGTGGGGGTGGCGGTGGGAGTGGTGCCGGGGGTGGGGGCGTTGGTGGCGGCAGTGGAGGCGGAGGCGGGGGCGGCGGTGGCGGTGGGAGCGGCGGTGGCGGAGGTGGCGGCGGTGGAGGAGGCGGCAGCGGAGGAGGTGGAGCTGGTCGGGGTGGCGCTACGCAAAGGGTCGGCTCCGGTGGTGGTCAGCGCCAGCAGCATCAGCAGCAGTAGCAGCGCACTTGTGAGTTCCCCCCCCCCCCCCCCCCCCCCCCCCCCCCCCCCTCAGCAGCTTCGTGAGTGGTACACTGCACGCCAGCGGGGTGGGGGTACTGGTCCGTGCACCTACGTCCTACGCACCGGCGACCGCGCGGGTGAGCCGTGCGGGGGTGCGCACTCCACCCAGCGCTGCGTTGGCTGCCTGACGGACACCTGGCGTCACCAGTTCCTTGAGGCCACTGAGATCCCTCGCTGGGGCGAGCTGTCTAGGGCGGGAGTAGCTATCTTTGACCTTGACTTTGATGCTATTCTTGCTGCCATGTATGCTGTGACTATTACTGATGAGGGTGACTGTTACTGGTGTTTTCCGCCCGACACGGGCATTGGGACTGCTGCTCTAGGTACTGGTGAGGCTGCTGCTCTAGGTGCTAGCGAGGCTGCTGCTCTAGGTGCCAGTGCGTCTACTTCTTCAGGTGCTGGTGAGTCTGCTCTATCAGGTACTGCGTCGGCTTTGGCCTCCCACACCTTCACCCTTGACTCGGGGGCTTCTCGCTCCTTCTTTCGAGACCGCACCACACTGACGCCGCTTGGTCGGCCATTTGCAGTCTCTCTGGCAGACCCCTCTGGGGGTCCTGTCCTTGCTCACTTCTCCACTGTCCTCCCGTGTCCGGCGGCCCCCTCTGGCAACCTGTTTGGTCTTTACTTCCCCTCATTTTCTACAAACTTGGTAAGTGGTGCTGACCTGCAGGATGCGGGGGTTCGCCAGTTCACTCCTGCGAGCCAGCGAGTGACCCACTGCACGGAATTCGTGCCCCACACCCATCGCCAATGTTGCCTCCAACCAGTTCCCCCTCCCATCACCTATCTTCACCGCATTGCATCTATCTCATCCAACCAATTTGATATTTGGAATTTGTACAGTCGTCACATGACTTCCAGTCCAGATCTACATGACGTTGATATAGGGAGCGTCTTTCCCCCCCTCCCTTCTGCGGGAAGAACCTTCAATCTGCGCGGATCTGCAGGGAAGGGAAATTGCCGATCAGCACGGAAATTGCCGTTCACTCTTGCACAAATCGCGGATGTGAATTTGACGGTGGCAAAATGCTTGTCATGCAATCCCGCATCTTTTCGTATATTCACATTTTTTTCGGTCGGGCTGCCCCAAAAACAATTGGCAAGCGTATAGCGTACTAGCTTGCGTTTAGCGTATAAACGCTAGCGTATATCCGCTAAACGCACAGTGTCCTGAGCGTATTTTTTAACTTAGGTGCCCTGAGTGAACCCATATCGAAACGGCCCAGGTTCGACTCGGACGTAACAAAATTTTCCGAGTTGCAATGGAGGAGGGGTGGGTACATGGAGAAGGGGGATGGGGTGCGGTTTGCGAAAAAATCAGATTTTGGATTACGTCATCATGCAAAAGTCAATCTCTGCTGCAGAGACACCCCATTCCCCCCAACCCTCTCCCCTTCCACCTCGCCCTGGCAACCCTAAATCCTGTACAGACGTAAAGTCACCACGCCCTCTTCTACCCTATCCCACTCCACGTCGCCCCCTTGCTCACCCCACACCTTCCCAATGCCTTCCGCCGCCACAGCAACCACCCCAACCATGCCAAATGTGGCCGTGAGCGCATCTACTTGAAATCGCGAGTTTTGCTTAACTCGACTTGGTCGAGTTGTGTCCCGAAAGAAAATCAATCTCGTAACTCGGTTTGTATGTCCATGTATAATGCTGTCGGTGTGCGAAGGGGAAGGCAGTGGGAGAAATGAGGGAGGAGAGCTAGGGACATCGGGTAGCTGATGGCATCACACCGGGAAAAGAGGTGATTAATTTCGTTCGATGGGGATTTTTTGGTGCTGCTTAACGCGCGTAAGTCTCCTGAAAAAGTCCCCATTCCACCCTGCCACAGCAGCCCAGTCATTCTCTGCAGCATCACGCCGCTGCCGCTGCTGTCAAGGCTGTGCCGCCCCATCACCACGCTGATGCTGTGACTGCACTCCACACTGCTGCCCACCATGCCACCGCCGCCACCATTGTAGGCACTGCGGCACTGCCATGCTGCCGGTGCTGCGGGAAGCCCAGGGAGGAGGAGGCGTCTGTGAGTGAGAATGGCATTGACTGCCAGCAACGGCGTGACACATCCATGCTCGCGCTCCTCCTGCCTATGCTGCCCGTGCTGCGTGTGCTACCTATGCTGCCTGTTCCTGCTTGTGGCCGCCGCACTCCCTCCATGCCTGGGTGACCTTGTCTCCCTGGCCCTGCTATCCCACCTCCTCCGCTCATGTTCGTATCAATGAAACTGCCGCTCATGCTCCCTCCCATGTTCTGACCCAAGGTCCCCCAAACCCCCCTTCCCCTCCCCACCCCTTTGCATGCTCCCACCTCTGCTCCGCCTATGTTTCCACAACTGCTCTCGCCCATGCTGCCCCCAAGTCGTCCCTTTGGGGTCGCTCAGCAGAGGAGTTGGTGCTGAGGAGGAGTAGGGGAGGCAAGGCGAGGCGTGCGGAGGAGGGGCTGGGGTGAGGGGCCTGGCATGGGCAGCGGGGGGAGAAAGAGGAGAGGCGAGGAGCTGGTGGGACGAATGTGAGAAGCAGAGACGTGGTGTCGGATGGCATGTCGTGGGGGACAGTCACAGCGGGCACGCATGTGCAAAGCATACCCAAAGAGCGAGGGAGGGCGGTCATTGAAGCAACGTGCTGGACACAGCCTGCCACCATCCGCACCACCACGGCCGCCGCCCGCCAGTATGCGCGTTCCCCTCGCCCAAAATCCCTGCTAACCCCACGCTACCTGCCTCTCGCTCCTCACTCTGCCTGCCCTCAATTCACCCTGCCGCTCCACTGCGCCGGCTGCCTGTCTGCCCACCGCGCGCAGACGAAGCTGCCGCAAGCTGGGCTGGGGGGGCGAGGCACCGATGCTCACACAAGCAGCAGCTTCAGCTGCACCAGCAGCATGGACGCGCCTCTCCAGCCCGCTCACTCGTGCACACCGGCCCCACGCACCCTTCTCCATTGCGCTCTCCCCTTCCCCCTCCCCATCATTCTCACAGAACGGACCTCACCCACCCCCACTCTCCACCTCACCCACTTCTCTTCCCCGCTGTCCACGCCCAGCGCCCCCAGCTCGTCCATCAGCCACCGCCGTGCCCTCTCGCCCCCACTTCTCTTCGCCGTGGTCGCCACCTCCCGTGCCCTCTCGCCCTCCCCTTGCTCGGAGAAGTTGTTGCGGGACGCGGGGCGGGGGAGGAGGCTACAGCGACGGCGCTGGGAACGCCACAGCCCTCGGTGAAGGGAAGGGGAAAGAGAAGGAAGGGTGGTGGCAGAAGAGTGGTAATCTGCCATGCAAGGAGAACCTTTTGCGACTGGTGCGTAATTGACAGGCATATCTCTTCACCACACCTGCCACTGTTGCTGCCACTGCCCAGCCCTGTAACGCGTTGTTTGAGGAGAGGCGGAGGGCGCAGTGACCACATAGGGAGCGGGCATGGGGCCACCCGACTGCGAGAGCAGGGATGGAGGGGGAGATGGCGTGGTCCAGGGGCGAGGAGGGCCATCACAAAAATGTGTGTGTTTGAAAATCATCTGACGTTCCCGCAGGTCGATCGTATGTTTGACAATCGTTTGAAAAACGTATAGAAAACCTACAAAAATCGTTTGTCCCTGTTGAGACGTTTTAGAGACACTATTCGTATGTTTCCGCTCAATGTTTCTTGCCTGTTGCTGCAGCATTAGGGTTTCGCGACTAAGAGGGGTTGGAGCTGGTCTCCTCGCTTGGAAGATTTGTGTTGTAAACCTGTTCTCGATATAAATGTCTCCTTTTTACTTCTGTGCATCGTTTGTTACAGCAAAGCCTTTGAAGATTGTTTCTTGAATTTGTAAATCCCATTAAGAACATGGGTTTCCAAGTGTCATATTTAACCAATGGTGATTGATTTTGCACCTATTAGATTAAAGAAATGCCTAAAAATATCAATATTCTAGGTTCAAAATCAACGTTTACCACAGTCACATTGGGTCAAAGGCCTCACCATACAAATCTGTTGAGGAGCCTCACTTCATCGTCCTCGCAAGAGGGTACAATGTGCACGAGACTAAGAATGCAGTCTACATCGATCACCGCATAATTATCAACGCCCTCTGTGGGTAAAAGACGCTTGCATCCCGTCAACGGGCATTGTCGCTTGTCTTCGGTGTAGTACTCCACATATGCGCCTCGCCTCAGCTCACCACCCTTGTTGTAATGAGACAGCACAAGGCGACGGCCATACCACAGGGATCCCTTCCCTGCAGGGTTGATCGCAATCGACGAGAAGTTTTGCTGGGCTGGGCTAGCCTTGACGAACTGCCCCCTTGACGTCCATTCCATCTTATCGTGTGGCGGGATCGCAAGTGCCGTGTGCACCTGTCACCACGAGCATTCAACAAAGAAAAAGGGAAAGCAGCGAAAGAGGGGGTGGAGAGCATACGGGAAATGGGGTATGGCCAGGGTTTGCATGGACAGCAGTCTGGAGAGGGGGAACCAGGGGCGGATGGGGTGGAAAGCAAGCAGGAGAGGGGGAACCAGGGGTGGATGGGGTGGAAAGCAAGCAGGAGAGGGGGAACCAGGGGCGGATGGGGTGGAAAGCAACCAGGAGAGGGGGAACCAGGGGCGGATGGGGTGGAAAGCAAGCAGGAGAGAGGGAGCCAGGGGTGGATGGGGTGGAAAGCAAGCAGGAGAGAGGGAACCAGGGGCGGATGGGGTGGAAAGCAAGCAGGAGAGGGGGAACCAGGGGCGGATGGGGTGGAAAGCAAGCAGGAGAGGGGGAAGCAGGGGCGGATGGGGTGGAAAGCAAGCAGGAGAGAGGGAACCAGGGGCGGATGGGGTGGAAAGCAAGCAGGAGAGGGGGAACCAGGGGCGGATGGGGTGGAAAGCAAGCAGGAGAGGGGGAACCAGGGGCGGATGGGGTGGAAAGCAAGCAGGAGAGGGGGAACCAGGGGCGGATGGGGTGGAAAGCAAGCAGGAGAGGGGGAACCAGGGGTGGATGGGGTGGAAAGCAAGCAGGAGAGGGGGAAGCAGGGGCGGATGGGGTGGAAAGCAAGCAGGAGAGGGGGAAGCAGGGGCGGATGGGGTGGAAAGCAAGCAGGAGAGGGGGAACCAGGGGCGGATGGGGTGGAAAGCAAGCAGGAGAGGGGGGACCAGGGGTGGATGGGGTGGAAAGCAAGCAGGAGAGGGGGAACCAGGGGCGGATGGGGTGGAAATCAAGCAGGAGAGGGGGAACCAGGGGCGGATGGGGTGGAAAGCAAGCAGGAGAGAGGGAACCAGGGGCGGATGGGGTGGAAAGCAAGCAGGAGAGAGGGAACCAGGGGCGGATGGGGTGGAAAGCAAGCAGGAGAGAGGGAACCAGGGGCGGATGGGGAGGAAAGCAAGCAGGAGAGGGGGAACCAGGGGCGGATGGGGTGGAACGCAAGCAGGAGAGGGGGAACCAGGGGTGGATGGGGTGGAAAGCAGGCAGGAGAGGGGGAACCAGGGGCGGATGGGGTGGAAAGCAAGCAAGGGAGGGGGAACCAGGGGCGGATGGGGTGGAAAGCAAGCAGGAGAGGGGGAACCAGGGGTGGATGGGGTGGAATGCAAGCAGGAGAGGGGAATGCACCTGCAAGACTTGCGTGTTGATGCCCGCCTGTTTGAGGCGCAGAACCATTGCACTCATGGCGGGTTCACCCAGCGTCAAGACGTAGCTCCGGAACACCGAGTCGGTGATGTCTCCAATGACCATCTTCTTGTGGGTCTTAGTAAGTGCCCTCCGGCCAGCCAGGCGTGCCTGTCACCGTGAAGATGAGAGGGTTGGTATAGGGAGGGGGTGGGGTGATGGTGTGGGCATTTGGAGGGTGGAAGAGAGGGTGGGGGAGGGGATTGATGCGGGGGAGGCGAAGGAGAGGGCTAGGGACCAGGGGGGAATGAGGGGGGGGGAACGGGGGCGAGTTTGTGGGGACGAAGACGAGGATGGAGGGTAGGAGTCGGTTACTTTGGTTAGGTTGGTCCCGCATCTGATTGCCAACTCATGCAGACACATCAGTGAACATAGCATGGAAACAGTGCTGAGAACAGAGCATGGAAACAGAAAAGGGTACAGAAAAGGGGAACGGACTAGGGGAACAGAGCAGGAGAAGAGAGCAAGAGAGCTGAGAAGGGAAACAGAGCAGGGAAACAGAGCAAGGGAACAGAAAAGTGGAACAGAGCAAGAGAACAGAGCAGGGCAGCCATGTAGTGAGTCAGAGTAGGAGAGCAGAGCATAGGAATAAAACAGGGAAACAAAGCAGACGAGAGTGTGCAAGGGTACAGAGCAGGGGGGACATTGCAGGTTTAAAAGAATCACCTCTTTCATCGAAGTCTCGTACGTGCTGTCCCCGCCGGCCTCCCGCGCTAGTTGTCTAACTACCGCGTGCTCCATGTGTTTCCGAACGATGCGATCTTCGACATTCTTCCAATTCGTGCCACGTGAAGGACGCTTCACAGTGGTCTTGTGGGAGTGCTCAAACAGTTCGACGAGTACTCTGCGGGGATTCCCCGAAGACGGATGGTTGACGGGAGGTGGACAAGGAGATGAATTTTCACTATTTTCCACTTTGACTTCTGCTTAGGAAATGCAACACGTGAAGCCTTCACCATGCTGGGGAGAGACAGTCGAGAGCATGCATGCAGTTAAGGGGTGGAATGCAGGCCAGGAAGGGAGAAACGACACGAGGGAGGGGGGGTGAGGAATCATGCAGTCAAGGGAAAAAAAAGGGTTTAGGGTAGTTAAGCAGGTGGGGTATGGAAGAACATGGATGCAAAGGGTCAAAACAAGATGAAAGGGAAGGGGTGGGGGGGGGGGGGGGGGGGGGGGGGAAGAGCATGTAGGTACGGTTGATGCGAGGAAAATGGGTGTATGTGGCAATGAACGGCTTGGGAGCCCACACAACAACAAGAGTAACTACGTGATGGTGGTACTCAGCGCGAATAAACTCCTTGTACCACTCGACCATGAGCACGATTGCCGTCCGGACATCTTTCCGTCTTGGGAGATCGATTATGAGAGGCAAGACCTGCATCATCGCACGATGCTCTGAAGCTGAAAAAGAGGCAGTGGATGTAAAGTAGGCCCACGCCGAAGGCAGACGGAGCACGGAAGCTGGTGTGCCCTCCTTCAAAATCTTGTATTGCCTAGAGAGAAGGAACGGTTCAGCATGGTGGAAAATGCAAGCAAGGAGGGCAGGAACGGTTCAGCATGGCACGGAAAGCAAGCAAGGAGGGGAGGAACGGTTCAGCATGGCGCGGAAAGCAAGCAAGGAGGGGAGGAACGGTTCAGCATGGCGTGGAAAGCAGGCAAGGAGGGGAGGAACGGTTCAGCATGGCGCGGAACAACTCACTCCAGAAGAATCTTCCGTTCTTTTGGAGTCAGCTTCTTCACAAGGCACTTCATGGCATGCAGCCATATGCCTTGCTCCCATATGTGCATGATGTCCGGGGGGACAGCGAGGTACGTGTTGCCCCAGAGAGTCTTTGCGAATTCCCAGTCCCACAAAAGGCTCTGCGTTGTGGGTCAAGGACACAGAGTCACTATGGCGGGTCGGGGTAATAAACACAAACAGCTGGCTGCGGATTGGAGTAGGTTCCCATGCACACTAGCCAGTGCAGTATATGGTGTGGATTGAGGGAAACCAGATGAGATGCGCGGCAATGCATGCGGAACAAGCTATGCAAGGGTTACCTTCACAAAGTGAGTAGAGGTCTTCTTCTTCACCGCCTTCAGCTTCTTCTTGATCTTTGCTGATTCCATCTCCTTGTACGCATCCTTCTGACTCTTGACAGTTCTGAGGACAATAGTGTCTTCTTGCTCTTCCAGGCACTCCTTATCAGGGGGCGTTTGAGTCAACTCAAACGTCATCGCATCGAGGTGCTCCTTATCAGCCAAGCACAACGAGCACGGATGGAGCGAGTTGCATGCCATCGTGCAAGTGACCTTAGAAGACTTCGGGTGATCTGTCACCCATGAATATAGAAGCGTGAATGCTCTATATTGCACACCGGCACTGTCTTCCACCATCACCCCGCCCCTGCACAGCCGCCAAGGATGAAGGGGGAAACAGGGAGGTAGAGGGGGGATGATGGGATAACACGTCGGAGATGGGAGTAACGGAGTGAGCATGGGCGGCCCTAAGCAAGCAGATGAAGAACGGTTAGGAAGATGGGGACAGCAAGTAGGGAAGGCATTAACGGCATGAGATGGTGGCAAAGCAAAGTTATGACTGAATACAGCGTTGTGGCACGCATTCGAAGGAGGACCAGATGTGAACAAGGGTCAACAAAGCGAGCGGAGAGGGTATGCCTCAGGGAAAGAATATCAGAAGGGTAGTGGGGTGGAAACGTGATGGAGTGGTTGGTTTGACCAAACCAACCGGCTAATGATGGAAACAGCAGGGTGGGAGGATTATAAATAGGGATGAGGGAGAAAACGTAGTACGATGACGGAGATTACTAGGGATGCGCGCCTTTGGGTGACAGTAGTGTTGACTCACCCTTTCAGATGTGAAGCCGCCTTTAAATCTTTAATCATGATCTCTGCAGCGCGCTGGAACACTCAAACCTTTTCTTCCGGCGAGAGGTCAGCTGGGATATTAGGCAGAAGCCCGAGAAGCTCAGTGCCTCCTTCGAGCCACCTAGCCCATTCCTGAATGTTCCCAAAAGACAAAAGAAATGGGTGGGCGGATTGGCGCCCGTTATGTGATAGATTGGTCTAGTCCAGGAACAGAATGAGCGCTATCACTATGCCATACTTCTGCACCCTATCCTGCCACAGTGAATGAGAAAGTGATGGAAATCTGAATTGGATCCTACGTTTCGACGGTCTTGTCAAACGCGACATGAGCTGAAACCAAACTTACCCAAGCCTCCAGCATCCAGTCCGTGTTTGCAGGGGTACTGTAGCGGCGAACCCCATTGTTGGAACAACTGAACAAGAATGAATGAACTAAGAGTGAAAACATAACAAATACCTAACCCTAGAATTGTGTACCCCCTACAGGCTAACCCACTGTAGCCTAAACAAGCACAACAACATATATAATGTTTTTCACACCCCCATAGGCGAAGTGGGGAGAACTAGGGGTCACAAGACCAGTCAAAGCAAAGCAAGGCAAAACAAGCTCAGGGTGGATTTCAAGGATACAACACAAATTCCGAGCACAAGCAAGTGGTCACAAGACCAGTTCACATGCACGTTTATAATAGAACAAGCGGTACAATGATCACAACCTAGCAAGAGTAAACATGCAGGGACATATATATAGAGATCACAGTACAAACAGACTCAAGAAGTAAGCAAATGAGGTACAGTAGGCACAAGGCCTAGAAGAGTGCAAAAGCGCTGATGGTCACAAGGCTGAAGCGCCTTGGTGAACACATCAGCAGTGTTGGCCTCAGAGGCCACGTACACAGACGAAGCTGACCACGCTGCTGCAGCTCTCGAGCAAGGAAGTAGCGCACAGCAATGTGCTTTGTTCTGTGCTCCAGTCTGTGCTCCTCACACAAGGCAATGGCTGCCTTGTTGTCGACGTACAGCACTGGAGGAGAACGAGGCTGCTCTCCAAGGTCGGTCAGCAAGTACGTGAGCCAGCGTAGCTCCTGGGCCGCCATGGCTGTGGCGTAGATCTCAACCTCACAACTGGAGCTGAGAATAGAAGAAGAGCGAGTAGAACGCCAAAAACTAAACCAGAGCCAAGACTGAAGGAGTAACGATGAGACGACCGCAGAGTAGCCTGGTCGTCTGCCCAAGAAGCGTCTGAATGCCAGTGAGAACAACTGGGACTTGCCCTCCAAGCACTAGCCCCATGCCCGACGTACTGCACAAGTAGTGCAACACCCTCTTGGCTACATCCATGTGCTCCTTCCGGTGACGTCCGAGAGCGACATAGCTTGCAAGAATGCTAAGAGGGTATGCAAGGTCAGGTCAAGTGCAGGTCATCAGATACATGAGGCAACCCACAAGCTCTGGATACAGGCCACTCGGCTCTACGAACTCATCCGAAGGCAGAGCTGAGAGCGAGTGACCGGTAGGCAGAGGAGTGGGCAGAGGCGAGGAGTACGTGAAGCGGAAGCGCTGAAGGACCTGCTGCACCATGTGTGACTGAGTCAAGGTGATGGTGCGGCGTGCTCTGTCCCGGGTGATCCGCAAGCCAATATAGCTTGTCAGTTCACCCAGGTCTGTGCACGCGTGTCTCTTCTGCAGCTCGGACTTCAGGTGGGCGAGTCCAGCAGTGTCAGCAGTGGCAAAGACCAAGTCGTCGACGTACACGAGGACGTAGAACGGCGGCAGTGAGGTGTCGGTGCGTAGAAACAGCGACGGGTCAGCAGTAGAAGGCGCGAACCCAAGAGCCGCAACTGTAGTCCTCAGTGTGTCGTGCCACTCACGTGGGGCTTGGCGGAGACCGTAGACTGGCCGTCCGAGGCTCCACTGGGTACCAGGAGGGAACGACCCAGTGAAGCCAGGTGGACGGCGCAGCCAGATCTCCTCGTGCAGGCTGCCCTGTAGGAAAGCAGTGCTGAAGTCAAGCGAGTGGAGCTCGTAGTCACGCTGAGCGGCAACGTGCAGCAGAACCCGAAGAGTGGTCATCTTTGGGGTCGGGGAGAAGGTCTGGAAGAAGTCAACTCCCTCTCGCTGACTGAAGCCTC